AGCCTTAAGATTAAGAGTCCTGGTGTGGTACTGTAGGGTAAGCACTGGATTGCTAACCACAAGGTCAGTGGTTCAAACCCACTTGCTACTCCTAGGAAACCCTATAGAGAGAGGGTCACTAAGAGTCAGAATTGACTAGACTGCACTCAACAACAAGTCTAGAGTATAAAGCCCAAAAGAATCAAGTATTTGGGAGCTGAGCCTTTGAAATGCTTACTAGTTGAAGGCCCCTTGTATCATTGAGGGCACTTATAAGAGGTGGAACTGTAACATCAGTTTAAAATAGACAGAAGGAACTATTAGAGCACCAGATTCCTCCCAGCACCATACATCCAGGTAACTACCGTCTCTGCCTCTCACTACCCTTCCTAGTTCACAATCTAATAGAACACTGGAGGTTTGTTATCTTGAGATATTGAAGTAAAGATATTTTGGTCTAAGGGAATCAGGCACAGGTGAGAGTAAGTGATGGTGCCGTCTTGAAAACAGAAGCTACATGATAAACGCAACAGAGAGACTCCCACATGCTACTGCTTAGCTCACTGAAAAATGGCATACATACCTAAACCCCAACAAAGTCAGAAATTTGAAGCCAACTCTCTGAGAAAATGATCTACATCTAAATGAAAAGTCATGTGTATATTGACAGTCCCCAATGACATTGACAAGGAGCTCTGGTAGCGCAGTGGTTACGAATCGGGCTGTGAACTGCAAGGTCAGCAGTTTGAAACTACCAGCTGCTCCACGGGAGAAAGATGAGGCTTTCTGCTCCTGTAAAGATTTACAGCCTCGGAAATCCTGTTCAGGGTCGCTATGTGTCAGAACCGACTCGACAGCACTTAACAACAACAATGACATTAGCAATCCCCACCACTTGTCTGTCAGTGTGTCATACTTTGGTGGCTTGTGAGTTGCTGTGATTCTGGAAGCTATGCCATGGGTATCTTAAATACCAGCAGGGTCACCCACAGTGGACAAGTTTCAGATGAGTTTCCAGACAAAGACAGACAGGAAGAAAGAGAGATAAACTACTTCCGAATATTTAGTCACTGAAAACCTTATGAATAGCAGCAATACTGTCAGATTTAGTGCCGGATAATGAGCCCCTCATGTTGGAAGACACTCAAAATGCGACCGGGGAAGAGCTGCCTCCTCAAAGTAGAGTTGACCGTGATGACACGAATGGAGTAAACCCATGGGAGTAAATCCCTCGGGACTTTCATTTGCTGATGGGGCACAACTCAAAATGAAGAGAAACAGCTGTAAACATCCATTAATATTCAGAACATGGAATGTGCATAAGAAGTACGAATCTAAAAAAATTGGAAATTGTCAAAAAATGAAATGGAATGCATCAACATCGATATCTTAGGCAATAGTGAGCTGAAATGGACTGGTATTGGCCATTTTTGAATCTGATGACCATATGGTTATGGCAGAAATGGCAAATTGAAGAGGAATGGTGTTGCATTCATTGTCAAAAAGAACATATCCAGATCAATTATGAGGAACAATGCTGTCTGTGATAGGATAATATCCATGCGCCTACAGGGAAGGCCAGTGAATACCACTGTTATTCAAATTTTTGCACCAACAACTAAAGCCAGTGAGGATGAAATAGAAGAATTCTACCAACTTCTTCAATCTGAAGTTGATCAAACATGCAATCAAGATGTATTGCTCATTACTGGTGATTGGAATGCAAAGGTTGGGAGCAAAGAGGAAGGATCCTTAGTTGGAAAATATGGTCTTGGTGATAGAAATGATGCTCGAGAATGCATGATAGAATTCTGCAAAATCAATGATTTGTTCATTCAAATACCTTCTTTATTCAGCATAAGAGGTAACTATACACATCCTCACCAGATGGAGTACACAGAAATCAAATTGACTACATCTGTGGAAAGACATGGTGGAAAAGCTCCATATCATCAGTGAAAACAAGGCCAGGGGCAGATTGTGGAACAGACCATCAATTCCTCATATTGGAAATTCAAACTGAGGCTGAAGAAAATGAAACACGTCCACAAGAACCAAAATATAACATTGAATATAGAGATCATCTGATGAACAAATTTGATACATTAAACGCTAAAGCCTGAAGACCAGAAGAGATGATGACATGAAGAACATCATACAGAAAGAAAACAAAAAGTCACTAAGCAGACAAAAAAGGAGAAGATAAAAATGGATGTCTGAAGAGACACTGAAACTTACTTTCCAGCATAGAAATGCTAAAGCAAATGGAAGAAATGAGGAGGTCCAAGAGCTGAACAGAAAATTTCCAAGATCACCTCAAAAAGACAAGGCCAAATATTACAACAAAATGTGCAATGATCTGGACTCAGAAAACCAAAGAGAAGAACACGCTCAGCATTTCTTAAGCTGCAGGAACTGAAGAAAAACTTCAAGCTTTGACTTTTGTTATTGATGGATTCTCTGGACAAATTATTGAATGATGCAGAAAGCATCAAAAGAAGATGGAAGGAATACAGAGTCACCATACCAAAAGGAAATGGTTGATGTTCAACTGTTTCAAGAGATAGCATATGAGCAAGAACCAATGATACTAAAGGAGGAAGTGCAAGGTGTATTGAAGGAATTGGAAAAGAACAAGACACCAGGAATTGATGGAATAAAAATTGAAATCCTTCAAGAAAATGAAGTGGCACTAGAGGCTCTTACTCATCTATAAAGAAATTTGGAAGACAACTGGCAAACTGATTGGAAGAAATAAGTATTTGTGCCCATTCCAAAGAGAGGTGATGCAACAGAATGCAGAAATCATCGGACAGTATCTTTTATCTCCTATATGGTTAAGTTTTACTAATGGTAATACAGAAACGTCTGCAAGCATACATTGACAGAGAACTTCCAGAGGTTCAGAAGAGGGCATGGAATGAGGGATATCATTGCTGATGTCCGATGGATCTTGGCTGACAGCAGAGAATACTAGAAAGATGTTTACCTGTGCTTTATTGACTACACAAAGGCTTTCAGTTGTGTGGATCATGACAAACTATGGACAACATTGAGAAGTATGAGTATTCCAGAACACTTAATTGTCCTCATGAAGAATCTGTACATGGAACAAGAGGCAGTTGTTCGACCAGAACATGGGAACACTGAATGGTTTAAAATTAAGATGATGTGTGACAGGCTTGTATTCTTTCACCATACTTACTCAAGCTGTATGCTGAGCAAATAATCTGAGGAGCTTGGTTATATGAAGAAAAATGTGGCATCAGGATTAGAGGAAGACTCATTAACAACGTATGATATGCAGATGATACAACCTTGCTTGCTGAAAGTGAAGAGGACTTAAAATACATACTGATGAAGATCAAAGGTCACAGCCTTCAGTATGGATTACATCTCAATGTAAAGAAAACAAAAATCCTCACCAATGAACAACATTCTTATCAATGGAGAAAAATCTGAAGTTATCAAGGACTTCATTCTTCTTGGTCAACCATCAACACACATGGAAGCAGCAGTTAAGAAATCAAACGATGTATTGAATTAGGCAAATCTGCTGTACAAGACCTTTTTAAAGTGTTGAAGAGCAAAGATGTCAGCTTGAGGATAAGGTGCACCTGACTCAAGCCATGGTATTTTCAATAACCTCATATACATGCAAAAGCTGGACAGTGAATAAGGAAGATCATAGAAGAATTGATGCATTTAAGTTATGGTGTTTGAGGATAATATTGAAAGTATCATAGGCTGCCAAAAGAACTAACAAGTCTGTGTTGAAAGATGTACAGCCAGAGTGCTCCTTGGAGGCCAGTATGGCCAAACTTCATGTCTCATACTTTGGACATTTTGTCAGGAGTGACCAGTCGCTTCTAGAAGAGATGCTATACTGAAAAGAGAAATTTAACTAAGGGGTAGGGGAAATGGTGTCCATGAAACTGGGAATCCAGTATAGGCTATACCAAATACCACAGTTCTGCAGTAGTTCTAGAAGACCAGCCAGTTACGGTTGGAGAAGAAAATCTGCAAGGGAAAAAAATTTGATGTACAGATAACATGATATTTTTTATCATATTGGATAATTTTACTGTTCTCTTGGAGAGTTTGAGAATTAATGTAGTTACATTTCAAAAAAAAATTAATGCAGATATTAAGTTCAACAAAACAGAAAAATTAGCAAAGAAATAAATGTATAGTTCTTCAACTAAGTACTTCAACTGCCAGTTAAGTAGGCAGCTCTTGTGCTGGGAAAAAAGTAGTTTAGTCCTTCTCCCCAACCCCCACACACATCTGACCATATTCTTTTTGTTGTTGTTGTTGTTAAGGGCCATCGTGTTGGTTCCAACTCTTAAAAATCCCATAGAGAATTTCTTAGCAGACAATGTGTTAGAACTGCCGACCTTGTGGTTCAAAGTTCAGTACTGATGTTATATACTGCCTAGAAATACGGGACTGAGAATTTATTGGCTCCCGTTAGATTCCAGGGATCACAGGAGCAGTACTTTTATGATGCAGAGGGATCAGCTGTCCCGGAAAAGCTTTCTCCGAACTAAATAAAGATATGATTCTTGTAGGAGCTCATAGAAAAGTTCAGGGTAGAATCTCAGGTCATGAATATTTAAATTACATGATTAGTCATACCAGAAAAGTAAAAAACTTTTTATAAAGATGTTATAGGCACGAAAAAGAATTTTTAAGGATCATTTAGTCAAATTCATTTTTGTACAATTGAAAATGAATGAATTCTAGAGAGATCCAGTCCTTTCTATACCATCATAAAGCCCTTTCTAGATGAGCCAGGACCAGAACCATGGCTTCCATCCTATTGTTCTTTCCTTTTATATTATGTGTTGTCTCTCTTAGTTTTCTCTTGTAAAAGAAAAAAAAAAAAAAAAAAACAATAGCGAAAGAGAACAAATCGCAAGACTGTCAGAGAAATAATTATCTAACTACATGGTAAGTTTTTTGAAACTCCATTTTAGCTGCATTTAAAGAGATCCCTGTTTGTCTTCCCTGTTTTACAGCAGCTCTATGCCGCTCAGCTGGCCAGCATGCAGGTGTCACCTGGAGCAAAGATGCCATCAACTCCACAGCCACCAAACCCAGCAGGAGCAGTCTCACCTACTGGGATAAAAAATGAAAAGAGAGGGGCCAGCCCTGGAACTCAAGTTAAGGTACTGGCTTTGCAGGATTGTGGAAATAGTTTGGAAAATAGCATCACAAGGAATAAGCAGCGGGAAGCAGAGGCACATAAAGGAACCCCTAAATACTCCTCTCTCTGGTGAATTTCATGACTTGAGCTGTGAGAAACAGGTGTTTTCCTTTTGATAACAATAGTGCCGTATTGTGACATCTTTACCTAAATCTGCAAACTCACTTCTCAAGAGTTTTTCCCTTTTGGATTCTGGCTTTTATTTTTTAATGTTCATTGGCATGGCTCTGGTTTTATTGCCAGTCTTTGTCATCGCCTTGTGACACTTGCCTCCAAGTTCTTTAAACAGGTGGGGAGCCAACCTATAATACTAGAGTTGGAGGATCTCAAAAGCTTAGATTTTAAAAGGGGGAAAACAAAGAATCCAGAGCTGGACTACCGACACAGTTTGTTGATGAAGGTCTCCTTAAACAATGCTTATAAACGTGTACTCTGAGTGATCTGTGGGGTCATTACCGTGTCATGTTTTTCATGATATCCAGTGAGAGTAAGATAAACAGGCTCTTCCAAGTAAGAGTTGGGACATTAATAAGTGCTTTTCTTCACTTATTTTCCATATCTTGAAACTAGACCACCAGGAGGTACCTGGCAGCAGCGTGAAATTGACATGCCACCCCAAGTTTGTGTTGCAGCTGGTTCCTATAGGTGGTACCAGTTGGATTTTATGATTGCCTTTGTTTCCTGTGTTGAATTATTGGATTCCAACGGTTCAAGGAAATATGTTTTTTAAAAAATAAATTGACTTATCTACTTCACTTCTATGGGTCTGCTCAGCACAGACATTTTTTATTATAACATGGCAAAAGTACTATATTTGGAGAAAATTTGCAATTATTAGATCTTCAGGCAGGAAACATCGAGACCAGCAAAACTCAACATTGGATACTTCAAATCAATGGGATTATTTTACTTCCTAAAATTTATAGAAAGGAATTTTGAGACTTTAGAAAGTCTTTTTAAAATATAGATTCCCAAATGCCAAAGATTAAAAAAAAGAAAGAAAAGAAGATTCAGAGAGAGAGTTCTGTTTCGGCCCATACACAAGGGACTTAATTTAATGTCATTGATATTTTAGATTTGCCAAGGAAATGAAATGTTTTGTTGTTAGAAATAGTAAGATATGATAATACTTTATATTTACGGAAACAAACCTATTTATTTTGTGTTCTAAATAATTTGTGTTTGTGAAAAAGGGTCATAATCCTACGACCCAAACCAAGGCACTTTATTTAATCGTAGTTGTTAGAGAAAGAGCAAATCAAACAACAGTGACTTGGTCTATTGACTATTAAATATTTTAACATAAAAAAGTCATTTTATAAGTATGTTGGCCAAATGGAATTGTACCAAACCAAGTCTTTATTGGATGAGTAAAATGTTCCCTGGTTAAATTCAAGTTTACATCTGCTTTAACCATTCCAACTTTGTGGGCCAACTGAATTTTATTACTCATTTGACCACATGCAAATTCTTAGGGAATGCTATATATACAATTTGACTTGACTCTATTTTTACATTAATGGCAAATGAAACATTTCTTACACTTAGTAGATTGTTTATTATATGTGTGGATAAAAATGTATAGACCAGATCATAAAGTAAATATTTTAAATAGAAACAAATAATATTGTCTGCCTATTATGAGCAAGTTCTGAGAATTATCTCACAGTTTCTTAAAAGAATTATGGCCACCAGAATCCTTCATATTTCTGTCTATAACCATATTGCTTTACCACTGCATGTAGTATGGCCACTCACTGTAAATTCAAATATGGCTGAAGAGATCCACAGTAAGCTTCTTTTTGGTGGAAGTTTTAACTACCATAAAGGTCAAAATCAGAAGCTAAATGTCTGTGTGCAGGTATCGTTTGTACCATTTTAACTACCTGTGCCACCTTCAGCAAGTTATTTAGTAATTTTAGCCTTAGTTTTCTAATCTTGAAAGGTGGAGTTAATATCATTAAATAAGATGGTATATCTTCAACGTAGTATATCTTGTTGTTGTTAGGTGCAGTTGAGTGGGTTCTGACTCATAGTGACCCTGTATAGGGTTTCCAAGGAGTGGCTGGTGAGATTGAACTGCCAACCTTGCAGTTCAAACTGATCTTGCAGTCTAGTGCATTAACCCACAGTACCACACCAGGAGTATTGATTATTGAATAAATGTTATCATTAGTGACGGTGACAATGATAATGATAAAGGAGGGTTGTTGTTGTTGTTAAGTACTGTGGAGTCGGTTCCAACTCATAGTGACCCTGCCCAGGGTTTCCAAGGCTATAAATCTTTATGGGAGCAGAACACCTCATCTTTCTCCCACGGAACCGCTGGTAGTTTCGAACTGCCAACCTTAAGGTTAGCAGCCCGATTCGTACCCACTGTGGTTATAATGGTGGTTATTATTGAAATCTGTAGTGTATCCGGAAAGAAATCCTAAGTAAAACCTAGTGGACTTCTACTTTTAATCATAATGGAGGAATGTATTTACTCTCCTGGCTTAAACAACTAAAACTGAGGGCAAAATATATTAAGAGATGGTTTTCAGACATCTGGCAATATGACAGTGATGCCTGAGAGAAGGGAAACAAATGAAGTTAGCACTACAATTGCTCTAGCTTACTGTATGTTGGGAATTTGTAGGGAGGGGTACCCATACAGAGGTTGACAGTGTTCCTAAATAGAATAACTAGTATTCAGAGTTTAGGCATGCTGAGTGGATAGATCTGTGAGGCAGAGAAGAGAGAGCTATGTGTGCACACACAGACACACACACAGACACACATGCATGCACACACATACAGAGAAATTGCTAAAGATCTACAGAAGATTTCCCTGAAACTTTAGCTGAATATTGATCCCTATATATGAGGAAACTAGTGGAGACCAGGGAAGAAGTGTAGCAGTCAAAACAATTGCAAAGTACACAAATGATGGGGGATAGGTTTTCTTCTTGCTGATTAAACTACAAAGATCTTCTGGCATATAAGCATCATGGGGAGTTTCCAGAAAGGTATTACCATAGTTGTAGCTAAGTGCCGTCAAGTTGATTTCGACTCATAGCGACTCTGTATAAGGTTTCCAAGGAGCCACTGGTGAGTTTGAACTGCCAACCTTGTGGTTCAAGCTGACCTTGTGGTCCAGTGCTTTATCCCACAGAGCCACACCAGGACTCCAAAGTAAGCCTTTGTTGTTGTTGCTTGGTGTCATCAAGTCAGTACCGACTCATCGCAACCCTATGCACAACCTAATGAAACATGGCTGGTCCTGGACCACCCTCACAATCATTGCTATGTCTGAGCCCATCACTGCCATCACTGTGCCGATCTAGCTCATTGGAGATCTTCCCAGGAAGGATGAAATTGTTCTGCATCTCAAAACAAAAGTCACAAATATTTAAAAGAATGTATAAAATCCCGTCCAACAATGTAGAATTCACACTGTATGGCATCCATTCAATAATTGCCAGGCTTGCAAAGTAGAAACAGAACAATAATGGGGAGAAACATCAGTCAATAGAAACAGACCCCAAAATGACACAGCTGATAAAATGAGTTGGTAATATAGTCAAAACAGGTAATCTAGGAGACTATAAAGTGAGGGGGAAGACAAATCTGAAAATGGTACCAGTAATAGAAAAAGTAAAACACCATTTCAGTGCTCAGGAGCTTGACCAAAGGCATACAACAATCTTTAGAAACATTTTTGCTTCTTTCATGTAAGAACAGTGGGAGCCAATGGACTCCTGGTATTGGCGCTGTAGGATCAGCACCACGAGGTCAGTAGTTCAAACCCACTAGCTGCTCCCTGGGAACCCTATACAGGGTCACTATGAGTCAGGACCATAACAACAATAACATAGCATTCTTACAGAGTCCTAGGAGCACTGCAGGATGAGCACTTATCCCCCAGTGTAGGGTTGGCACTTCTCACAGGAGAAAAAGGAGACATTCTGTTCCTGTGACGATTCATAGCCTTGGGAACCCTATACAGGGTGCCTCTGAGTCAGAATCAACTTGATGGCAGTGGGGTTAGGGTTTGGGGCATTCTTGCTTAGGGTTGTCCCTATTTCCCCTAGTTTGAGGCTTGGTTTACACAAATTTCTGTCAGGCCAGGGAAAACCGTGAGGACCCTCAGCTACCCTGCCACGGTGAAAGGAGATTCACTTGACTTAGAGGTGATCTGCAATGCCTACATCTAATTCCAGGGGCATTGGTGGTGGGTGAGGCAAACACTGAATTATATAAATTAATGTTGGTGTTATGGTTCAGTGCTATCAAGTAGGTTCTGACTCTTAGCGAGCCTGTATAGGGCTTCTGAGGAGCGGTTAGCAGGCCAGTGCTTATCCTACAGTGCCACATCAGGACTCCTATAAATAAATAAACAGCATCACATTCAAGACTGAAAACAAAACAAACAAAGAAAAAAACCAACAACCAGATGGTATCTACTCCATATATCCAAGAAGGTAGAAGATGATAGGTAAGGTATACTGTTGTTGTTAGGTGCCACTGAGTCAGTTCCAACTCACAGCGATCCTGTGTACAACAGAACCAAACACTGCCTGGTCCTGTACCATCCTTACAAGGATTACATTTGAACCCATTGTTTTTGCCACTATAGCAATCCATCTCATTGGAGTCTTTCTCTTTTTCAATGACCTTCCACTTTACCAAACATGATGCCCTTCTTCTGGGACTTGTTCCTCCTAATAACGTGTCCAAAGTATGAGAGATGAAGTGTCACTATCCTGGCTTCTAAGGAACATTCTGGTTGTACTTCTTCCACCACAGATTAGTTTGTTCTTCTGGCAGTCCATGGTACTTTCAATATTCTTTGACAACACCACAATTTAAATGCATTAATTCTTCTGTAGTGTTCCTTATTCATTGGCCAGCTTTCACATGTATGAGGTGAAAATGCCATATTTTGAGTGAGGTGCACCTTAGTCCTCAAAGTGACCACTTTGCCCTTGAACACCTTAAAGAGGTCTGTGCAGCAGATTTACCTAATGCAACATGGCATTTAATTTCTTGACTTCTGCGTTCATCTGAGGTCAGCAATGGTATCCCTAGTTCGACTTCCTCTTCTGAGTCTGGCTTGAATTTCTGCCAGTTCCCTTGTCAATTTATTGTTGCAACCATTTATTATCTCCAGGAAAATTTTAACTACATGTAATATTAATAATACTGCTTGATGACTTCTACATTCCAGTCAGTCACCTCTCTTTGGAATGGGCACAAATATGAAGCTCTTCTAATTGGTTAACCATTAGCTGGCTTCCAAATTTCTCAACATAGATGACTGAGTGCCTCCAGTGCTGCATCAGTTTTCAAAAGACTTCAGTTGATAGTCTGTCAGTTCTTGGAGCCTTGGTTTTTGCCAGTGCCTTCAGTACAGCTTGGATTTCTTCTTTCAGTAACATCAGTTCTTGACCATATGCTACTACTTGAATGTCAACCATTTCTTTTTGATACAGTGACTCTGTGTACTCCTTCTGTCTTATTTTGATACTTTCTGCATCATTCAATATTTTATTCCTAGAATCCTTTAGTATTGCAAGTCCAGACTCTAATTTTTCCTTCAATTCTTTCAGCTTGAGAATTGCTGAGCATGTTCTTCCGTTTTGGTTTTCTAACTCCAAGTCTTTGCATAGTTTATTATAATACTTGACTTTGTCTTTTGTCCTGTAACATTTTCTGTTCAGCTCTTTTACTTTCTTATTTCTTCCTTCACTTTAATTTCTGTACACTCAAGAGTAAGTTTCAGAATTTCTTCTGACATCCATTTTGGTCTTTTCTTCCTTCTTGTCTTCTTTTTAATGACCTTTTGCTTTCTTTCTCCTTTTATAATGTTCTTCATGCTATTTTTCAACTCTTCTAGTCTTCAGTTATTAGTGTCTAATGCATCAAATTTGTTCTTGAGATGGTCTCTAAATTCAGTGGGATATAGTCAAGATCATATGTTGGCTTTCATGGACTTGTTTCAATTATCTTCAGCTTCAACCTGAACTTGCATATAAGCAATTGATGGTCTGTTGGCCTTGTTTTGGCTGATGATATTGAGCCTTTCCATCATCTCTTCTCACAGATGTAGTCAATTTGATTCCTGTGTATTCTATTTAGTGAAGTCCATGTGTATAGTTGCTATTTATGTTGTTTAAAAAAAGTTCTTTGCAGTGACTACGTTGTTGCTCTTGTTTAACTCTGTCATGCAATCTCCAGTATCATTTCTATCGTCAGACCCATCTTTTCCCATTATTGATTCTTTCTCTTTGTTTTCAACCTTCGCATTCCAACCACCAGTAATGATCAAAGTATCTTCATTGCATATTTGATCAATATCAAACTGAAGAATTTGGTAGAATTCTTCAATTTCATCATTCTTGGCTTTAGTGGTTAGTGCATAAATTTGACTGGTCTTCCTTGTAGGCATATGGCTATCATCCTATCACAGACAGCATTGCATTTCAAGATAGGTCTTGAAATGTTCTTTTTGACAATGAACGTGGAGACATGCCTCTTCAATTTTTCATTCTTGGAATAGTGAACCATATGATGGGATTCAAAATTGTTAATACCACTCCATTTCGGCTCACTAATGCATAGGATATTGAGGTTTATACGATCCATTCCATTTTTGGCAATTTCCAATTTTCTTAGATTCATACTTTGTACATTCCATGTTCCGATTATTAATGGACATTTGCAGCTGTTTCTTCTCATTTTGAGTTATGACCTTTCAGCAAAAGAAGGTGCCAGAAGCTCTGGACCATTTCATGTCATTATGGTCAACTCTACTCTGAGGAGGCAGCCCTTCCCAATTGTATGTTAAGTGCCTTCTGACCTGAGGGACTCATCTTCCAACACTGTATTTGCCAATGCTCCACTGCCATTCATGTGTTCGTCTTCAGACAATATGTCTGACAGTGTTTTGCTGTTATTCATAATGTTTTCAGTGGCTAAACATTCAGAATTAGGCTGTGTCTTCTTTTACATCTGTTTTCGTCTGGAAGCTTCACTGAAACGTGGGTGACCTTGCTGGCATTTAAAACCCCAGTGATGTAGCCTCTAGCATCACAGCAACACGCAAGCCACCATAGTATGACAAACTAACAGACAAGTGGTGGACCTGAGGTATAAAAGATAAAACTTAAAAGATGGAAAAACACAATGTTGGAGATGAAAAATACAATGGATGGGATTAAAAACAGATTAGATATTACATATGAAAATATTAGTGAATATAAAAACATAGTAATGAAATTATCTGAAATGAAACAAAAGACTGCTCAGTACAGCTGGATATCACCAGATGGCCTGGATGGTAGAAGAGGAAGGAACAGAAAAAAGGTTTGAAGAAGCACTGTCTGAAAATAATCCAGATTTCATGAAAACTCTCTATGACAATATCTTAGAAGCTCAGTAAGCCCCACATAGAAGAAACACAGAGAGAAAAAACCATAAATTACCTAACACATAATTCACTATCTATATATGAATAAGGAACTAAGTGGTCTAAATATCCTTTGAGTTTAGAATAATGCACATTAGTAGACCATTTTAATATTGATGTCCAATTGGTAATAACTGTTTCTTGAGAACCTGCTGAACCTGCCCTATGCCTAAATGTAAATACTGGTGCATTGGAACTTAGGTATATCTTGAGAGCTCATCTCATCTCAGAAGCTAAGCCGGGTTAGACCTTTGTTCGTACTTGGATGGGAAGTATATGTATGCTTGGCATGGCAGTGCACCTATTTCTTACCAGTCACTCTACAGGAGAAAGATGAGGCAATCAGCTTCTGTAAAGATTCACAGCTATGGAAACCCTATAGGGCAAGTCTGTTCTGTCCTATAGGGTTTGCTGTGAATCAGAATCAACTTGAGGGCAGTGAGTTTGGTTTGGTTTAGAACACGATGACATTATCAAACAAATGTCTTATTGTCTCTAGCAATTTAGTAGAACAGTGACTTGAAATTTGGAGTCTAATAAGCTACAATTTAAATTCTGCCCCTCCAAATTTATTACTTGCATAAGGAGCTCTGGTAGCATTGTGGTTACAAATCAGGCTGTGAACTGCAAGGTCAGCAGTTCGAAACTACCAGCTGTTCCACGGGAGAAAGATGAGTCTTTCTGCTCCCGTAAAGATTCACAGCCTCGGAAACCCTGTACAGGATCGCTATGAGTCGGAACCGACTCCACGGCACATAACAACAACAAACATTTACTACTTGCATAGCTTTGGACAAGTGATTGCATCACTCTGACACCCCTTTCTCCTTTATAGGTATAAAATAGTACTACCAACCGCATAGCTGTTGATGGTTAAATGAGCTGATAGATGTTAAAATGCTGGGCGTAGTACATAATGGTTCCTCTCTACATTTTATTTTTATTATCGCTTTCTAATCCTCCTTCTCAAGTTTTTTTGTTTTTGTTTTTTTTCCCCCTGGTTTCTCTATTTTGTTCCCCGTTAATCAGTGGTTCTGAGTACTGGAAGAGACTTCCGAGATCATTTAGTGTCAGACTGTCATCTTACAGTGAGGTCTGATGTTTACCAAGCTTTACTGTATATTTTCAACAATGACACTGAAAGCAAGTTATCTGAGAAACAAAACCGGGCGTTAACATTTGCTGACAATTTTGGCCTTAAGCATAATAGTGCTGATCTTAAAAATGAGCATTTAAATGAATATGCTCACATTACCACTGAATTTCTAGAATGATGGAAAGTGTTGTTAATGGTTCTTTATAGCAGAAGAAATGAGACAAAATAAAGGCTAGGAGCTTAGCTTTTAAACTTTGGGCTAAACTAGAGTTACAAGTCAGATATTTCAATACTGTGTTCAGTGAAGAAGGACGTGCTGTCTTTAAATAGATATTCCATAAATATATGTAGCAAAGAATATAAGGAGACATACATCACTGAAAGCATGAAAAATAAATTGCGTACAGCATAGTATGTAAAACATAATTATAATGTGTGCTTTCCCTTTGCAAAAATTAATTTTAAACATGAGTAGAGACCAGAATATAGACCATAAAGAGTGCCCACACCCAGAAAGCCACAAAGAAGCTATGCTGTGGCATGTGGCTTCCTGGGCAGGGGCCCAGGAGATCAGAAGAAGACTTCCATGTTTCCATTTTTAAAGAACTTGCAATTGTTTGATTTAAAATATATATTAAAAAATTAGCTGCAGAGCCTATTTATAGTTCCAGGAACTTTGCAGAGAGAATAACACAAAAGCACTACAGAACTGCTGAAATTTTAAATAATTCTTTGTAAATGCCCTAGGTTAATTTAGATCCCTGAAAACACATTAGGAAATTAAGCTGTAATGTGAGCTAATTCAGATTTTAATTTGCCAAAAAGAATGATCCAACTGCACAGTTAATGTAAATAGAAGCATAACACAGGGAAATTAATGAATCTTCAAGGAGGTAGATAATTAGCTTCTTTTGTTATTATTGTAGGAGAATGTGGCATTGTCTCTGAGGTGTAAAATAACTGTGGCTTGCTAAGTGATAATGCGCTTCATTTGTCTTTCTTTTTTGTAATAATTATTTATGTTAAACTCTTGTAGGATGAAGCAACAGCCCAGCCACTGAATCTTTCATCCAGACCCAAGACAGCGGAGCTTGTGAAGTCCCCAGCCTCGCCCACCCAGAGCCTCTTCCCAGCCAGCAAAACCAGCCCAGTAAACCTGCCAAACAAAAGCAGCATCCCCAGCCCCATTGGAGGAAGCTTGGGAAGAGGATCCTCTTTAGGTAAATGGAAAGGTCAACACCAGGAAGAGACTTATGAATTAGGTAAAAGAAAATAAACTCTTTTAGTGATGACTTATCCTTGTTTCCAAAGTGATACTGTATAAAAGATAATAGTCTTTCCTACTGAAACAAAACCTGTTCTATCTCCCAGGATTAGATCTTTTAGAAAAGGTGACAATGTAGTTCCTGCTCTGATGGCCAGTTATTTTTAGAATGGGTTCTTAAGACCATGATGAGTTAGATCCAGCAAACCACAGACAGGAATTCCTGTGTTTGGGCAACGCTTCCCCATTGAAGCAACTCCAGGCAGACCAGAGTGACCACCAACCCCCCAATGCCCCACAGCTACCTGCCCAAAATACAAAATTTCTTTGAAATTTTGTATTTTCTTTTTTAAGTAAATGTGAATTTTGCATATTATCCCATATATATATATATATATTTTACATTTAAACAAATAGGAACGACATACTTCAAAGGTAAAATGTGAAATAAAAATGCTATCTTGGGAGGTATGTCATCATAATCCTCTCTGGCTTCTTGAAAATGCTGTCATGTGATCCTGGAAAAGTTACTTAATGTTCTTGATAAAATGTCTTGCTATGTTTTAGGTGAAAGCTTACACTTCAAATTAAGTTCGCATCTAATGTTCTGTGACATTGTGACACTTTTCACAGTGGGTCAACATTCTCATTATTTCCATTCTATTTGTTCTGTTTCCATGGTTGTAGCTTCCCTGTCCCTCCTTGTCTTCTCATCTTTGATCTCAGATAGTTTCTTGTTTATGGGAGCACATTATTCATGGGTTATATTATTAATAAGTGAATCTGTTATTTGACTGAAAGGTGACCTCCAGGAGTAACTTCACTACCAAGTCTCAGGGCTTTCTCTAGTTTCTATCAGTCCAATAGATCTGGCCTTTTGGGGGGAGTTTTAATTTTGTTCTTCATATTTCTTCCAGTCTATCTGGGACCTTCTATTGTGTCCCTGTTCAGAAGAGATTTAATAGCTTTGTGCACAGTTTTCAAATCTGTGAAATGGGAATATTATTCCCCCACGATCTGAAAGTACAAGGAGCTCTGGTAGCGTAGTGGTTACGAGTCGGGCTGTGAACTGCAAGGTCAGCAGTTTGAAACCACCAGCGGTTCTGCGGGGGAAAGATGAGGCTTTCTGCAAAGCCCGTAAAGATTTACAGCCTTGGAAACCCTGTACAGGGTCGCTATGAGTCGGAACCGACTCCATGGCACTTAACAACAACAACATCTGAAAGTGCAGCCTTACACACTATGAAACCTTTCATAAACCAAAATGGTATAAAGTGAAGAAGCAATTACCAGTAATTTATGTGAGAAAATTTTTTGAGCATTCCCAGACCTACAGATGTATGTATTGGAGTCCTGGTGTGTCACTGTGAGATAAAGCATGGGACTATGAGGTCAGTTTGAACAGCAAGGTCAGTAGTTCAAACCCACAAACTGCTCCTCAGAGACCCTATACAAAGTCGCTATGAGTTGGAACTGCCTCAACATCCCCTAACAACAACATACATACATACATATATATATATGGAGTGATGTGGCTCTATAGCACAAGTACTGGACTTCTAACCATAAGGTCAGAGGTTTGAGCCCAGTAGCTGCGTTGTGGGAGAAGATTTATAGCCTTGGAAACCCTATAGAGGGTCGTTATGAGTTGGGAACCACTGCACAACACCTAACAACTACAGCTAGAGAGCTGTAATAATCATAATACTTCTCAGCTAGCAGCCCTGCGGGTCCACTAGTAAGCACTCTGTTGGTAACCAAAAATTTGGTGATTAAAATCCACCAGCTTTTCTCTGGAAGGATTAGAAATCCTCTTCTATAAAGATTCCAAAAGCCAGAAATCAAACCCATTGCCTTCAAATTATCCAGTTGATACTTACTCACAGTTGACCATACAGCTGACAGCTTTGGAAATCCTATGGGACATTTCCACTCTATCTTCTAGGGCCACTATGAGTCAGGATTGACTCAAAAGCAATGAATTTTGCTTTGGCTTCTTAGCGAGAGAGTGTCCAATAAATATAAATATTAGTGTTATTATAGTCTTTAAATCTTTTAATTTTCTAATAAGGACACAGAGATTCAGAGATGTTAAGGTCTGAGCTTTTGGCAGCACAGGGATTAGAACGAGAATTTCTTTACCATACTGCCTTCCTTACATTATTAAGTCCTAGATTCTATTATAATAAAGAAAATGTGTATTATTATATATAGTTTTAAAGTATTTTTGTCCATCTTATGGCCTTTGATTTTCATAATAATCCTGTGAATTAGGTGTTGTCGTCGGTAAGTGCCATTGAATCCGTTTTGACCATAGCAACCCTGTCATAGCATTTACAAATCGGGCTTCTAATTACAAGGTCAGCAGGTCGAAACTACTAGCAGATCTGCAGGAGAAAGATGATGCTTTCTGCTCCCGTAAAGATCTGCAGTCTCAGTAACCCTATAAAGGGTTGCTATGAGTCAGAACCAACTCCACAGCACATAACCACCATAGGGTTTCCAAGGAGCGACTGGTGAGTTTGAACTGCTGACTTGTGATTCAAACAAACCTTGAGGTCCAGCACATTATCTCGCAGAGCTGTACACATACAATAGAGAGTAGTATTGTAGCTTTGCAGACTTAGCGACGGCCACAGCCATTTAGGTGTTAATTAGCAGTGCCAGGACTGGCCTCCTGTTCCTCCCACACAGTGCTCTTTTTTGTTAACTCCAAGTTGGAACATTTGTTGAACTGTGCTTGAATCTACGTAAACTTAAGATATGAGATGTATGAGGGTAATATGAGAAATACTGCTGCTGGGGTTGTAGTTCAGACATGCATAGTATATTATAACAAAATGTGCATTGTATGTTGCATACATGAATAGTATGCTACAAACAAAAGCATGTTTCTATGATCAGCCAATGACTGTAGACAGTTCCCTAAGTATTACACTTATCTTAATCTCATTAGCATGCTTTTAAAAAAATGTCCATTCAAAACAGTAACTTGCAAGGGGATCTGCTGCACCAGATAAATTCAAGGCAGAGAGGTCGTTCAGAAAGCTATTACAACTGTTTTGTGAGACTTCAAAGGGGGTAATCTGTTTGGATTTTCTCAGAGGACACAGGATGATCATGGAGACTTACTAGGAAGAATTTTAAGAAAACTGAAAACTGGTGAGAAAAAGGCCAGGAAAGTTTCATGAGCATTTTTTTTTCCCATTGTGACAATACACCTGCACATTCTTAGAGAGTAGCAAGGGCTGCTGTTGTATGAGAATTTCTTTGGGAAATTGTATCCCATCCCTTTACAGCCCTGATCTTGCCCCTTCAGCCACAAGAATCTTTCAAAGGAACACAATTTGTGTCCCTCAAGAATGTCAAAACTGCCATTTGGACATGGTGTTTTCAAAGAGCAAAGAATTCTCCGGGGAAGTCTTAGAGAGATGGAAATACCACCTTCTAGAGTGTGAAGACCTATGCTGGCGTCACGGTTAGATATTTTTGTTTCATAGTAGTTTCTACGATTTCATAGCAATACTGTTTGACTTAGCCTCGTAAATCTTTGTCACTGAAATGTGGGACAGTAGGATCCATATAGCGGCCATCTTGTGAATCCAGATGCCTCTTCCAGGGGCACGGAGGTTTTCATCCAAGTCAGTGGCATTCGTGTGGGAGATGTGAGTCATTTCCAGCTTGTGAATAGAAACACTAGTCCTTGGCTTGCTTGTTGGAAGTTGTGAGATGAGAAAAAACGCCAACAAAAAGAACAATAATAGGCTTGACTTTGAAATTGCCCTGCTGTAATCAACTGGATTTTGTTTGGAAAGCATTTGTTTGCCGTGCCGAGCCTTGTGAGCAGCAGAGATGACTATGTTACAGAGCTGCTCTGATACAGCCCACACCCCTGCAGAGCACATTTCTAAGGCCCCTGAGCTAGAAATAGCACTTGAGCTTGGATAAGCACTCTATCCAAGTATTTCAGATTTGTATCTGCAAAAAAATCCCAGACCAAAAGATGTTGGTTTCTGTATCCTAAAAAGTGATTATTGGACTTTTTAAAAAAATTCCATAGGTAGCCTGGGGAAGTTTTCTCAAACTCAAATGTGTATGCACATGCATTACACACATACAGACATGTGGTGTGAACACACACACACATGCACACATGGACCCTGAAATGCTCTCACATGACTAAAATTGGGTGTATCCAGGAAAACTTTTCACAGCACTTCAAATCCATCAATCAGTAAACAATTGCTCTGTTTTTGTTTAAAATTGGAGAAAACTTATACAAAGTATTAATCGTGGCACTGTGGGTTAATGCACTGGATTACAAAACTGATTTCAACTGCAAGGTCAGCGGTTCAAGCTTATCAGCCAATCCTTGGAAACCCTATACAGGGTTGCTGTGGTTGGAACCAACTCGACAGCACATAACAGCAACAACAACAAAATAAAAAGCAAGATACAGAGAAATTAGCAAATTAGTCCGTTGAATTTTGACTGACCCTCACCTCGCCCCATGCTGCAGAGAATGGTAGTGGAGGTGTAGTCGATTCTGACTCATAGCGACCTTGCATAGGGTTTCCAAGGCTCTAAATCTTTATGGGAGCAGAAAGCCTCATCTTTCTCCCATGGAACAGCTGGTAGTTTTGAACTACTGACCTTGAGGTTATCAGCCCGACTCATAACCACTGCGCTACCAGAGCTCCTTGCTACATAGAATAAGTGAACGTAAATGTTTCATCTCACTTTATGTGGAACTCTGTACTTAAGTGAAAACAATTCCCACACAGATAGCCATCACTATGTCAGGAAGACCAGGAACTGAAAGCAGTGGGTGTTCTGGGTGGGGGTGGGGAATGGGTTGTCATTTCTTGGTAAATAACTAAGGCGGCATGATGAGTAGGATGCTTCATTAACCAGCCAGCAATTGGGCATTGCAGAGTGCGGTGCATTCTTTCCGCCCCCTGTCTCCTGCAGTGGACATGTGAACACACAGATACGGATGGTCCGGAAATACCCATGCAGCCTTCTGCTAGGCTAGCTTTCCTGCACTATCACAACACATGTAACAGGTAGCTAGGACGGATATCTCTCCCTCCCTGACACAACCCTGCCCGGTCTTCATCACGCTGTGCTTGCTGCTTCCTCCTCACTGTTCTCTCTCAAAGGAGGCAGACCAGATATCTCCCCCAACTGTACATACAGTTAGAACTTGGGAACCTTCATCTGGGTAAGGAAGTGGTAGTCCCCAGAGAAATCGGAGTGCTGGGGTATCCTTTAAAACTAAAGAAACAGCACAACTGGGTTGCCCTGGCTTTCTCTACTCTAAACCTAGTCATGCCTAGTTTTCTTAACAGCCAGTGTGCCCCTTTCTTGTTAGAGAATGTAACATACTACAGGGAAGTGGATAGTAGCGGTGCTTTTTAAGAGTCTAACCTCACAAACCCACTAATAATGTATCCTGTATACACAGATATCCTGTCCAGTCTCAACTCCCCTGCCCTGTTTGGAGATCAGGATACAGTGATGAAAGCCATTCAGGAAGCTCGAAAGATGCGAGAACAAATCCAGCGGGAGCAGCAGCAACAGCAGCCACATGGTGTTGATGGGAAACTGTCCTCCATGAATAATATGGGGCTGAACAACTGCAGGAATGAGAAGGTAAGCTTGCTTCCCTCCTTCACTGGCTCTGCTGGACCCATTGGCTCACTGCATCTGCCTGTTTCCAGGCTCCCAGGCTCCAATCTAGAGCCAAAGACTCAATCAGGCTTCTAAGTAGCCTGAGGGCTGTGTGGTAATTTCTTCACATCTGTCTTGTATTACATTCAAGCATTATTACTGATAAATACACTGAACTAGTTCCCATTTTAGTTGGGTTTCCTCTTAGGCCTCCAGCCGACCTGCCAATTGGTCTATTCTCTGTCGTATTATGAATGATGTAGAAGCTGTTGTTGTTAAGTGCTGTTGAGTCCGTTAGCAACAACCCATAGCGACCCTGTATAGGGTTTCTGAGGAGCAGCAGGTGAGCTTGAACCGCTGACCTTGCTGTTCAAACTGACTTTGCAGTCCGGCGCATTAACCCGTAGCACTACACCATGACTTCCTGGATGTTCAAGGAGAATGTAGAAGTATTCCATATGAAAGGGTATATATATGTGCATATATATATTACATATACAGGGTCATTATGGGTTGGAATCCACTTGATAGTACTTAACAACAACAACAAGTATGGTGCACTGGATGACAAGGTCAGTTTGAACTGCAAGGTCAGTGACTCAAACCCACCAGCCCATTCGCGGCTAAAGTTTTGTAGAATAAGAAAAGCATTTAGAAAGAAAAAAGAAGTATATTTGCTCAGCATGAAGGCTAATGTGTTTATTAGGATTCAACATTAAATTCAATACTGAATTCCTACCAACCAGAGTGAACAAATCAAAACAAAATAGTTTACAAAATACATTCATTTATTTTCAGATTGAGCAAATTGTTGATTGAGCGACTATTATATGACCGACACTATTTAGGCACTAGAGAGAGAGCAGTGAAAAAATCAGACCAAACCCTGCTCTCATACAGCTCCCATTCTAGTAGAGGAATACAGGCATTGGAGAAATCCATATTTAATGTAGGGGCACCAGTCTTCAGAACAAAACTTGCAGTTTTCCAGTACCTTCGATGATGTTTAAAGTAGCCTGTGGAAGAAGTCAGAAAGATGGCATGTGGACACATGTACTATGACTGAAGCATGGGGATCCACAGCCCTAACCAGAGTGTTGTCTGTTGTTGTTTGTTTTACTTTGTGTTTCATGTGTTTCATCTTCAAAAGGTACGGTGATGCGATAGTCTGAGAACGTGGGCTACAGGACAGTTGGTCATGCTGACTCAACCTCTCACTCTGGATTGTTCTACTGTAGTCTCTGGCCCCACTAGGAGACAGCTGGTTGTGGGGGGCAGGGAAGAGTTTTAAGAGCATGGGAGTATGATGGGACTCGCAAGGCATGTATGCGATCAAAGTCTTCAAGCAGATTAGGAAGCTTAGCTCTGGAAGACTGTTGGCTTCCAAAAGCTTAGGAAAGAATTTCACTTTACCCTCAATTCTCACTGCACTGAGTTACTGATATTAAATATATATATATATATCCCAAAACACATTGCCATTAATATAAATATATATAGAGAGATACATGTATGTTGTATGTATGCATGCAATGTATATATTTTATATGAGTAGGTTTCCTATCAAAAACAATTTTTCATGGAAAAAACTGCATTATTTTCCAATTTCATTTTTTTTTACCAACTTTTTGAAACTCCCTCATATATGTATGGAACCGACACAGCTGTAGGCACTGTAGGATAAGCACTGGACTGCTAACTACAAGGTCAGTGGTTCAAATTCACCAGCTGCTTCTTGGAAACCCTACATAGGGCCACTATGAGTCTGAACCGACTCAACGACACTTAAAAACCACAACAGCATTATGTGTCTATATGCTTGTCTATAAAGGAAGGAATAGTGTAGTGGATTATGCATTGAGCTGTTAACCATAAGGTTGGCGGTTCAAATCTACCAGCAGCTCTGCTGGAGACACATAATAAGGCTTTCTGCACCCATAAAGATTTACAGCCTCAGGTTCTCTAAACAGGATCATCAGTATGAGTTGGAACCCACTCGCAGGCTCACAACATCATCAACAAGAATATATATAAAAAAGAGAGAGTGACTCCCTGGTTGGCACAAGTAGTTAAATGCCTGGCTACAAACTGAGAGGTTGAAACACCTCCTATGTTTCCCATACCTTTTAAACTAAATCAGGGTAAGCTCTTTAGTATAAAGAACAAATATATTACTTTGGCACAAATCCTCACACAGTGGTGGAAGGGTCAGCAGAAGGAAAACGGAGATTTTTCAGATGTTGGCCTACTGGTCAAACCACATGGTTATTTTAGCTACTTTCCAGTTGAGTTAATGCACAAAGCCATGGAAATTTCAGGATCTCATAAGTATACTATAGCGTGTAATTGGTTTATTAGGTTAAATCGGGATTTCGCAACCTTGGCATTATTGAGTTTGGTTAAACAACTCTTTGTCATTGGGGGCCATCTAATTTTCGAAAGTTTCACTGGTGGTGGTGGTGATGTGCTGTGGAGTTGGTTCCAATTCATAGCGACCCTGTACAGGGTTTCCGAGGCTGTAAATCTTTACAGGAGCAGAAAGCCTCATTTTTCTCCTGCGGAACTGCTGGTAGTTTCGAACTGCTGTCCCTGAGGTTAGCAGCCCAATTCATAACCACTACATTACCTGAGCTCCTTCACTAGATGCCACCAAACCTCCATTGTGGGTGCTAAGTATGTCTTGTGCCAACTAAATATGTCTCCAGACATTTCTGCATGTCCTCTGAGAGGTTGGGGTGGGGTTGGGGATTCACTCTGGTAAAAACAAAACCCTGATTGGGCTAAATAGAGTCTATTTAGAAACAGTACATTGCAGAATGTCATTTCACACACTCAAACGATTTCATTTAAATCTCCATACTTATTGTTAAATTATGAAAGATTACTTGCCTTACATTAGTGTTATGAACAGAATATTTCCTTGAAAAATACATGTAGAAATTTTGTTTGGGCTATTAACATAGAAAGCATTTAAACTAGAAAGTTTGTGTGTATGTGATTTAGGATCCCCTGTGGATGCAAACGATTTATGCTCCTTTGCTAGCACTGTAGGGTCAGCACTAGGCTGCTAACCACATGGTCAGGCATTGAAACCCATCAGCCACTCCTCAGAAACCCCATCTAGGGTCGCTATGAATTAGAACGGACACAACGGTACTTAACAACAGCAACAACTGACTTAAAGGTTGGGAGTTTGTACCCTCCCCCTGACACCACAGGAAAAAGACCTGGTCATCTATGTTCATAAAAGGTTACAACCCCCAAAGTCTAGGAATACGTCTACTCTTTAGCCTATGGGGCTATCTTGAGTCAGAATCAACTTGACAGCTTTTGGTTTACATGGGATTTCGTTCTGGGGGAAAAAGAGAAAGAAATTCTGTATCATTACAGCAACTCTGCCTTACAGTGTAGCTCCTGTCTTACTAAGCAGACCCAGGACAGCAGCACCCCGACCCCGGTGCACTAGGGTGAGTCACAACATACAGCTCATAGAACCCTCTATTTTACAGAATTACCAAACGTGAAGCCATTGTCTCTTAACATATCCTTCATCTTGGTGTAGACACTTCTGAAAACAGTGTTTCCATCTCTCTAACCCTCACATTTCAGACATGTTATCAGGAGAAGGACATCATGCTTGGTAAAGTAGAGGGTCAGCGAAAAAGAGGAAGACTGTCCAACCAGGCGGATCTACACAGTGGCAGCAGTAGTGGGCTTCAGCATAACAATTGTGAGGATGGTGCAAGGACGGGCAGTGTTTTGTTCTATTGTGCATAGGGTCTTTATGAGTTGGAACCAACTCAACAGCACCTAACAACAACACCAACTCTTTTCTGAAGCTTTCTGCATTTTTCTATTTACACCACATCAAAACAGTAGTTTGGGCACACTTGAGGGACTCCATTTCAATGTTCTTTGAGTTATTAGGAACAAGACGAAGACTGAATGGGTAAGATCAAGGCTTGGTGGGTAGATAGGGTAAGATGTCTCAATGAAATTCTTGTAGGCCAGACCTTGTTGTTCTCTAAGCATGAGCAGGTACCTTGTCATAATGCAACTTTCCTGGCCTTTTTCTCACCAATGCAGTTTTCTGTGTTCTTAAAACCTCTTCCTAATAAGCTTCCATGGTCATCCTATGCCTTTGAGAAAAATATTTTCCATAACCTTCTGAGCTGACCTCTCTGCTTTAATTGAACTGGCCCAGCAGATCCCCTCAGAAGCCACTGTTTTCGTTGGACCCTTTCTTGAAAGCACCCTAATGAGACTAACACAAATATATTACTCAGAGAGCTTGTCTGCAGCCATCCACTGGTCACAGAAACATCCTTAAACATTTTAAGAAACAAAAAAGCCTGTATGTGTATGAACTGGAACCCTCGTAGAAACACAAATTTACCTTCATAAATTTGTACTGGGAGCAAATTTGGGTGCTCCTGAATGGCACAAACAGTTAATTCCTCAGCTCCTCCCCAAAAAGCTAGAGGTTCAAACCCACTAAGAGGCACCTCAGAAACGAAAGCCTGTCAGTCTGCTTCCAAAATATGAGAGCCATGAGAACACTCTGGAGTACGATTCTGTTCTGCCTTAGGTGAGGTTCCCACGAGTCAGAACTGACTTGATAATGGTTAGTATTGGTTGGCCAGCAATGATTTTCTCTGTTTCTCCAACACTGATGCTCTATGTTGAATTTGTGTCATCAATTGGAGTTGAAATTCAAAATTAGACCCTAGTAACTTCAGGTCCTTCAGGATAATTTGAAGTATTTTTTATTGACTTTTCTTAAATTCATTTGGGAGAAAGAAGCCTGAAGTTGGGAAATAATGAAACCTAATTCACTGGTCTATGAACCACAAGATCAGTAGTTCAAGCCCAAGAGCTGCTCCTTGGAAACGCTATACAGGGTCTCTATGAGTTGAAACTGACTCAACAGCATTTAACTACAACGATGTTGTCTAGAAAGATAAAGAATAAAGGTGGAAGAT